GGGACTGAACCTAGGGCTTTATGCATACTAAGCACATGCTTTACTACTGATATTCATCCCCAGCCAGATCTTTATTTTTAAAACTGACAAATAAAAATTGTATGTATCATAATACAATATATTTTGAAATATGTATGCATTGTGGAATTACACATCTCTTTTTCTCAACATTCTAATAGTCATATTGTCTAATCATTGACTCTTGACGTTTCCTTGAATAAGCTCCTAAAAAGAAGAGCGGACAAATCCTCTAGGATTTGGGAGTAGCTGGAAGTCAATCTTCCTCCTTTCATGGATATACACCTCTTGCTTGGCTCAGTGTCACCTCTGATTTCTTTCCCTTTCTTGTCTGAAGGAGACTAAGAGTGCCTGAGAGAAAAGAGTGGGTGTTGAAATCAGACTAGCAGCCCACCAGCTCACAGGCCCAGCTCACATGACTTTCTGCAGAGTGATGCCAAATTATTCTTTCTGCCCTCCAGGATTAATGCTCTCTAGGAGCTTCATAATGCTGAAGTTCCTGCCACCATGTGCACGTGCGAGTACACATACACACACACACACACACACACACACACACTCAAAAAGAGTATAATGCACACCTCTGTGAACTCCAATCTCAGAATGCAGCTGGCTAGAACCAACAGTGGAATGCCTTTTCCTGGCCCCTGAGGACATAATGGAGAGTGGCTTTCTGGGAGATTGCTTGACTGGGTGGGGAGTGAAGACTTTAATTTCAAATAATCTTGTTTGCACTTTCCTTGAGAAAAGGCTTGGCTTGGATGACACCTAATATAATATGATTTATCTGGTGTAAGTGCAAGAAGTTTTCTCTTCATTTTAATTTCCTCATTTCCTGAACATCAGGTGTTCTTTTTTGAGATTATTATTATTATTTTTTTGTTTTTTTCACTCTTGTCCTGTTTGGTCTCATTTTTGAGAACAAAAAAAAGTATTCAGGAGAAAGACTCGATTAAATTTTATAATATAGGGATATTAGGTTGACTATTACTTATATTACTTAACCAAAGACAAGCCAAATGAAACAATATAACTCTGTGATTTCCAGGCACAGACCTTTAGAATAAGAGCCACACAAAATTGCTTCTGGTTATGATTTGAGGGGTGGTGTAAGCAAGCTTAATTGAGTTTGCAGGAATTTTTAAGTTTGCAGGAATTTTTAAGTTGTTGTTTATGGAAGGCTGATCTTGCTGGAGAGATCCCCCTGGGCTCTACACTCTTCAGTTTCTTACTTCTCCTTTTCCTCCACCCGCCTGCCCCACCTTTTCCAGGAAGCATCCTTCCCTGCATAGAAATGGCCCTCTTCTCTCATCCTCTCCAGGACTCACCCCTGTCACAGTCTAGCTGGGCACAAATCACGAGCCACTCAAGCAGGAACAAACTTTATTTCGGAACTCCACCAGCACACTCCACACATGCTCCCGGGAACTCTCCGAACGCCACCCACGCGGCTCCTCCAGGAACACCACACACCAACCGGAACTCCCTCCACTGGAACTTCACCAACCAACACGAACTCTTCAGGAATCCCTGCAAGAGCTCAACCAGAACTCAACGGGAACTCCGCGAGAACTCAAAAGTCATCATCTTAATGGCTCGCTGGCGTCACCTCTCAACCACTACTTCTGGCAAAAATGCCATGGGTCATCCCGACTCGGCTGTGGGCCTCAACACACCCCAGTGAGAGGAAGAACGGCATTTCTGACTGTGAGATGATGAAAATCTCTTGTCTATCAGTTCACATAGTTCAGCTGGGTAAGCAGGGTAAAGTCGATGCTCACAAGTGGCCAGTTTTTCTTCAGTTCTCAGTGGAATCCGAATCATACCACATCTCCATGACATGAGTTAGGCTAGGGAACAACAGCAGGGGATCCAGTGGGGATGCATTTCCAGATCCCAGTGGATGCCTGAAACTGCAGATAGTGTCAAATCCTATACAGTATATGCGATATCTTTCCTATACATTCATACTTATAATAAAGTTTATAAATTAGACACAGAGATTAATAGCAATAAATGATAATAAAATAGAATAATTATAATAATATGACATAATAAAGGTCATGTGAATGTTCTCTCTCCTCTCTCAAAATATCTTAAATTTCTGTAGTAATATTTTTGAACCGTGGTTGGCCATAGGTTACTAAAACCAAAGAAAACAAAATCACAGATGAGTGGGGACTACTGTGCTGCTCTACAAATCTCCCTTTCCTCTTATGAGCTTATCTAGATCTACATTTGAAGGAAAGAGTAAAAATTGATATTGGCCTCTGGTCCAAGTAGTGATTTCTCAGAATATTTGCCAGATATGAATAATAATATTTTGATCCCTCTCCCACTTGTGTGTTGAGGTCCCAATTGGCTCAGGAATCAAAGCTTGGACCACAACCAACACCTCATCAACCATTCATGCTCTAAGGGCTCATCCTAGCTCCTCAACCTGCTTGTTCTAACTCTTTCCTGCAGTTTCCAAGTCTCACTACCATTCAATCTTGGTTCATTTGGTTTTGGAAACATTGAGATAGATTCTGCTTTTCCCCATTCCAGACTTCTTCCTACTGAGGAGGAGGCTGAGCAAGTATGGGCAGAGGCCAAACAATGGTGGTTGGTAGGGATAACTTGGAGGGAGGGAATGCTGCCCCACCCTTGCTGCCTCCTTCTGTTTATCCTTTTGTCAACTTGGAAGACTTTGCCAGGGTAGAAAAGCCACACATTCCTGGTATAATTGATAGGGCACTGTCAAACAGATGGTATAAGTGGTTTATTTTGAAGGAGTTTATTACCGGCCACAAAACTTTGAGTCAGCTATTTGCAGGGAGCCCTTATGAAGGAAGCCCCTGTTTGTGGCATCCACCCTCAAAGGCGTCTGACAGAGGACTTACTGTACTTTTGCACCCAACCACATTTAATCCATTTATAAGACCCCTTTGTATGAGAAGGCTTACCAGAGGAAATTAATGTAGGATTTTGCAAACAGCTCTTAAGAATGCCTTTTATATAGAACTGTATAGTTCTAAGAGCAAAGTGGGATCCCTCCCCTCCACATTGTTATGACTTGACATCTCTAGTATGGAAAGTTTCCAGCAAGTTCTGATAAGAAAAAGCTGGACCTTTTGCTTTTGTGGAAACCACAGCCGAAGAAAGCCATTATATTATCTATTCACTTAGTCTCCTCTTATAAATACAAATGCTTAAATGCATTAAGAGAGTGGGCCCAATTTTGGGGAAGTGAGGTGGCAGCACTTAAAAGGCAGTGAGAAATTGAAAATCTAAGTTACAATGGCTGGTAATGTGGACAACTGAAGGTAAACATGTGCCTTCCACAGAGGAAGGTATTCTCTGACCCAGTAGTAAATTTTAAATCTTGAATTTCTGGGAATGGAAACAGAGTTTTTTAATTAAAAGATTGACACATCAGCCAGGTGTGGTGGCTGCACTGCAGTAATCCCAGAGATCTGTAGCCTATGGTTGGAGGACTGCAAATTTGAGATCAGCCTCAGCAACTTTGTGACAGCTTATCTCAAAATAAAAAAAAACAAAAGGGGCTGTGGATATAGCTCATTGGTAGAACACCTGGGTTCAATTCCCAGTACTGGGGAAAAAAAATTGACACATCAGCCTTTTACATTTTTTGTTGTTGTTATTAGGGCATTGTGAATAAAGCAATTACCTTTTTTTTTTTTTGTTTCATCATCTCATAACATAAGGGATAATATGACATCAAAAATTAAGGTGTAATCTTGTAAAGAATCATTTCCTTATATTTAGTGAACCTATCCCTGGATAAAAGGTCACTACCTTGGGATTTTTTTTTTCCTCATTGCACAACAGATCTGAGTGTGTCCTTGCTGCCGCTGCCTGGCCCCAGTTCAAGACCTGGCATTAGTACCTGGGCTTTGAAGTGAGATGACCTGGGGTCAAGTCTATCCCTTGTGACTGGTTGTCTGTGTGGCCTTGGGCAAGTTTGCCCAAGTCTCTGTTCTTGTATCTGTTAAGTGTGATATCTATTCTTTAAGAAGCTCTTGAGGGCTGGGTTTGTAACTCAGTGGTAGAGTGCTTGCCTGGCATATGCGATGCACTGGGTTCGACTCTCAGCACCACACAAAAATAAATAAGGTATACAATTTGATGTTTAAAAAGGCTGTTGAGAGAATTGAGTGAGGTAAGGGAAAAGTGACAGGGTTGTGACATGCTTAACACTTGGCAGCTCTGACATGCCCTCTGGAGATTACAGGAGCAGGATGTAGAGTGAAGGCAGAAATGCTCAACAGCTGACCTCAGAGGAACACAAGCTTTTTAGTTTTGTTTCTTTCTTACCTATATTCTATCACTTATATTTATAAGCAAATCATTTATAAAAAGTATAAAATTGAAAGAAAAGAAACAAAATATAGGTAGCCCGCAGAGGCTAGCTTTGCTGTTTTGGAAGCAGAGGGACAAAGAGATAAAAGTAACAATGTGGATTCCAAGTGCTGTTCTTCTTGGCTGGTTAGAGGCAATTTCAATCTTAGGTGCAAGAATGCTCTCCCCACCATTTATTTTCTTTCTCCTGTTTTGTGATCATTTGTCAGCTTTTGGTTAATATCCCTCCTAATACTTTTGCCTGGAACTGCATGTTCCCTCAGCCACCATACTTTGTGCTAGATAAACTGTCATCCTTCAAGATGTCTTCTTCTTAAAAATTTCTTCTGGTAACCAGGCATGGTGAGGCACACCTGTAATCCCATTGACTCAGGAGGCAGGAGGATTGCAAGTTTGAGGCCAGCTTCAGTAATTTAGCCAGACCTTGTCTCAAAACAAACAAACAAACGAGCCCATAAAAAGGTCTGTGGATGTAGCTCTGGGTTCAATCCCCAGCACCACATCTGCACACACACAAAGAGGTTTTTTCCTCTCTTTTTTTCCTAACTCTTTTACACTGAATTGTAATTTTAACAAAATATATCTTTTTTCCATCAAAGTGGGAGCTCTTGAAAAACAAATTTATAGTCTTACTGTGAAGAGTAACCCAGTTTTGCAGGTGCCACATTTAATATCAAGTAAATATTGAATAAATGTATCCAATGAGTGAAGATCAATGTATAGTTGGTACCTGGTGTGTTGGAGCAAAATATTATGCACTGATTTGTGTTTCCCTCAAATTCACATATTGAAATCCTATTAGGGATTAGTAACTAGTGATGTGACTGTGTTTGGAGATGGGGAATCTTTAAAGAGGCAATTAAGTTAAAATGAAACCACTTAGGGTGGGCCTTCATTCAGACTGACTGATGTCCTTACAAGAAGATACACCAGAAGATTAGGACACACAAAGAGACAGCAGGGATTCTCAGCCACAGGGAGAATGCCACAGGAGGACAGTGAAAAGGTGGCCATCTGCAAGCCAAGGAGAGAGACTTCAGGAGACTCCAAAATTGCCAATACCTTGACTTGGACTTCTATCCTCCAGAAATATGGGAAAATACATTTCTGTTGGTTAGGCCACCTTGTCTGTGGTGTTTTGTTATGGCAACCCTAGCAAACTAATACACAGAGTAAGATGAATAGTCATTTCTGGGGAAAATGGTGATGTATTTTTAAAATAACTGGTGTAAAAAGAGGACTTAAAGGGAGGAAGTAACTTTGTAACAACTAAATAGCAACAATGGCAGTATTATTGAGTGCTTACACATGCAGACACTTGTCAAAGTGGTTTGAATGCATTATCTAATTTTTACAATAAGCCTAGGAGGTAGTATTGTCATTCCTATTTTATAAATGGTGAAATTGAGGTTTGGAAAGATTGGGTAAAATCTCATAGATCACCCAGGTGCTGAGCAGTGGAATCAGACCTGGACTCAGGTCTGATTCTGAAGCTTAGGATCATATACTGCCACCTGATCGGATTACATTCATTCCAAGTGAATAGTACCTTCAGAGCAGGCCAGAACAACACGGAATTTGAATAGTTTCTGAGGCATGTTTTCCTCAAAAACATTAAACTTCAAAGGAACGTGACTTCAGAAATATATGGAAATATTATAGCTGAGGAGATTCTGAAAATTTGCTGATGGATGAAATTATGTATTTGGGAACTTGTGAAGACTTTTATGTGGAAACAAAATTGATTTTACAGTAGGTACTGAGTAAAGTCAGAAGTTACAAATGTGGGGTTTGCAAAACAAAATTGTGGAAGATCCAGCCTACATCATCCCCAATTAGTAATTTGCATGTGAAGAGCTCAAACCCTTTATGAATCTAGGAACAAATGAAGCAATGCCCATTGGCAGAGATGACAAGGTGGCAGAATTCTCATATAAGTGAAATACAGAAAGTTGGCTTAGTTGTAGTTTTTGTTTTGTTTTTGTTTTTCACATAAGATCTTAGTTCTTTTTTGTTTGTTTGTTTTCATCCCACAGAATTAAATT